AAAAAATATTGGGCTTCCAAATCTAGGCACGAATTCAACAGTGGAGTTGAATTTAGGATGGAAACCCAATAAATTTCATTTTCATGAGCTCCAAGTGGGCTTAAGTTGAAATATCAAAATGGGTAGAGTTCAGCCTGAAACAATTTTATTCCTCTAATTATTTCCACCCAGAGGTACAAAATCCTAACCGTGGAACTGGGGGCTACTGGCGAAGTGACAGTGCCATAGAGTTACTAGAATTGAGCTCCTATTGTCTCTGTTATTTTTCTTTTTTTTTTTTTTTGATCAAATATATACGTATCTCATCAAACATAGCTTTGTCTTTGTTGAACATATCGGAATCAAACTTAGCTTTAAGGAACAGAAGAAAAGGTTTCTTGTTCTAGACCCTAAAGTCCATATCGAGGAAAACACTTAAAAGATATATGTTAGAGGATATCTCAAAATTGTCTCTTCTCCATCGACATATTCCTTTCTGAAAGATGCGCAGATATCTCGAATGATGTTTTTCTTTTTGTTAGAAAAACTCTTGGTCCCCCCCCCCCCCAAAAAAAAAAGTACTCTCAACTCAAAATTGAATTATATTTTATTGAGTATTTCACTTGATGTGCAATATTAGAGGACATGATTATTGTTGGATTTTGTAAAATTTCCCAATCAAATAAGGAACAGTACATGATTTAATGAAAGCTTTGACGGGGATTGGCCCTTGGCAATCTTAAGTAAGCTCCGATCCATGTGATGGTCTCGAGCTCCAACATCACTGCATATGATGTGCGTGTACCAATACTGATATACTATACATATATACACGTACGGCTGTTTCAAAAAGTGAGAAAATGGGAAAGAGGTCATTATGGAAGAAATGCAAAAGCTAGTTCAGTCAACACGAATGATTAATTGGAAGAGCTTTTTATCTTTGGAAATTATGGAAAGGAAAACTATCTGGCGAGCATATATAATACGAGATTAAGAATGAAAATTGATCAAATGAGGCTTGGTCTCCAGGCCAAGCCACACAATAAAGAAAGCAGAATGATTACTTTTATATATATATATATATATATATATAGAGAGAGAGAGAGAGAGAGAGAGAGAGAGGAGGGGGAGGAGGAGGCACTTACATTAACGTAGTTTTTATATTTTTTTAAACTCTTAGATAAAAATTAATTCAATGACTCATTCGAATAAAAATAATATTTTTATCCAAAAATCTGCAAAATGTAAAAATTACACTAATATAATTAGATAAGAAATGATGTAATATCATTAAAATAAATTAGATCAAACAAGCATTGGTATCTGATTTTTCAATTTAAAAAAAAGAATTTGCTTTTTTTCTAATAGATTTGGGTGTATATATATATAGTAAGGATTTACTCATATTAATATAAGAGTTACACTTTTTTTTTTACCCTTTTATCAAAATTAAATCCATAACATTTACACTAAACTATTTTGATCCAAAAAAAAAAAAAAACATGTATTTTTACATTAACATTAATAAATTCTTTCTCATATATATGTGTGTATATATGCATATGCACATTATTATCATTTGTGAAAAAGGCACCCAATCAGATGGATTGAAAGAACACAATCCGAATAAACTAAATTCTATTGTCTAACTTTGGATAACAGTTGGAGCTTGAACCAGCTACTCAATGACCTGGTTGATGCATGTGTACGAGTAAAATGTCCAGGAGCACTCTCAAAAGTTAAAAAAAAAAAAAGAATTTTTTGAAGGAAAATATTTTTTAGATATGGTTAAAAATTTTCTTTGGATATTATTTCCATCGACAAAATTAATAAATTCATCAATAATTTTTTATTCATATTTCTTTTTATATGCAGTCACATCAGGATTTGTTGAATTAACCCGAAATAATGTCCAAAGAAAATTTTTAACCATATCTAAAAAATATTTTCCTTCAAAAAATTTTTTTGAATCTGCCCCGTAATGTGACTGCATATAAACTTGACATGAGATGATCATTGTAATGTTCATGACATAATGATGGAAATAATAACTTAGCGAATCTGATTTTTATTACTTTTTGTCTCATCTTTTTCTGACTAGGATATTCGAAAAGAGAAGTATTCCTAAAGTTTTAAGTGTTAAAGGGTGTGTTGTTGCTTGAATTAAATTTCACATTTCCCATTTATGGTTTGCAATAATAATGAATGTGTAATTAAGAATTTTGATCTTCAATTCGTGCTGTCATGGACTACCCAGCTGTTTCACAAAATCTCAAACAAAAACCCATTCACGAAACCCATCAAAACTCCATTCCAAATCCTCCTTTCTGCCCAGCAAAAAAAAATAAAATCTGCAGTCCAATTTCCATCATTCACCATTCGTAAAAATCTTTCACAGTCAAAAACTTCATCAAGAACCCCTATATTCACCGAAACCATCATTTTCCACGGCCAAGAAAAGCTAGCAACAACAAAAGAAAAAACCTAAAATGACCATTACAAACCCTCAAAGATAGCCACCAAAATCCACCATCATCAAACTATCAAAAACCTTGAAAAAATCCATTAACACAATCAACGAAATACCACAAAAGAGTGAGCAACCAATAACTAGAAAATGGATGAAACTGATGTTGCTAAAATTTGGAAATAGAAATAACATTGCAACTGAATGAAGAACCTGATAAACTCAGAAAACATGGGGTCTAGGTTAGTTTCTGGGTGGGAAACATAGAAACAAAAAATAAAAAGACAAAGAAAAGAAAAATAAAGAATGAAAGAAAGAGTTGTTCTATGGTTTCGGGTTCTGGGATTTTTCTTAGAATTTTAGGTGTTTAAAAGGTTGATATGATGGAGAAGTCGGCCGTCAACGGTGGTCGACGACGGATCGTGGAAGCTGGATTTGGAGCTGACTAACCTTGAGTTTAGAGTCAGAGAAGAAATTAGAGAAGGGGGAAAAAGAAGAAATGAGACAAAAAATTTGATTTTTTATACTTAAGGCCAATAGGTGCCATATCATTTGACATGTAGACTGCCAAATCAGCATTCACATGGCAAATCAACTCTTAATTTTGACTTCAGACAGAATAATTAATACTCGCACATTTTCATTAAATTTAGGTGAAATTGAAAAAAAAAATAGAATGAGGATCAAATTAACCTAAATAAAGGCAAAAGGTTCAAAATACCCTCTCAACTAAAATTCAGTAATTATTGAAATTTTTATCTTTTTTAATTATTTAAATATTTATTTTCATCAATTAAGCTTAATTATTTTTATCTAATCAAAGGCTTAATTGAAAGAAAATAGATATTTAATAGTTCAATTTAATAAAAATAAATATTTAAGAATTCAATTGATCTGAAATAAAAATTTTAAAATTTAATTAATTGCAATAAAAATGTTAAGAATTTAAATGATTATTAAATTTTTGTTTAAAAACCTTTTTATTCTTTTTCCAAATAAAAAATAAAGGCAAGAGTAACTCAATTTTCATGGTTTAAGGGCCAGATTTGCATTTATCCCTTTGCAAATAAATTTAATATACATGACATTGCATTCGACTAAATTGGGAAGAATATATGGTAAGGGACATGAAACTTTTCTTTTTCAGGGGCTTAATTTGAACTTGATTAGTAAAAATTGGTGTCTCTATGTTGAAAATTTTGATAAGTAATTTCGAAGTAAATCCCCTTTCCATTGAAGATTATAAACGGTTCGAAACTAGGTAAAATTAATGAAGACATCAAACAAATCATGGCATAGTTGTTTTTCAGTGCGCAGATTCTGAGGACAATGTTTTAAATATCAATCACAAGTTTTACCATTTCGAGCAAATCATCAACCCACACACTTTTCGGCTGCTACATATGTGGGTTGCATACATTGTAACTTCATGAAAAATATGGCAACCCATATGCCTTTTTCCTCATCAAGTCCGAGGTATCACCCCATTTCCCTCCAAAATCATATCTCTTTCGGGTTAATTCAACAAATCCTGAGCTCATTGGGATAATGTAAATTTCTAAGATTAAGTTTAGGAGCTAATAATACGCATATTACCTAGCTAGACCAAGATAAGATATGCAATATAAGAGCAAATTTATGTCCTTGGCTTTTAAAGGCAGTTTTCTTTTTTTTTTGCTGTTCGACCAAAAAAAAAAAAGTCACAATCATGTTAAACATGCTTTGAAGTGAAGATGTTGCACGGGTGTGCAGTTTTTATAGCTTTCAATGAAACATGTCCAGCAGCAACTTTTTTTTCTTCTTTCTTACAATACCTCAATAATACAAAGTCTGATCAGTTTTCTTAACCAAAATGAGCACAAAAAAGAATAGCACAGCTGTTTAAGAAATACTTCAAATGGAAAGCCTTTTTGATTGGCGTGCATTAATCGTTTACACCGAATTATTCCCCTCCCTCTCTCTCTCTCCACATGCACACCAAACATCATTCTATCGAGTAGCTAAATAATGTTCTTCTTTCTAATGTACACTTATTCATGATACTATTTAAAGCAAATAAAAGTGAATTAGTACTTTTTTGAACCATTTCGCTTTTTTTCAATCATTTATGTGTTTGCTCATTAGATTTCCTGTTGCTGCTGATAATCAAACCAATCTCACTATCATTTGTCTCCTATGCTAAGACTTATGGAACAGTCTGTAAAAAAACGGCGAAATTGAAAGAAGTTAAAGAATTAGTAGAAGTATAAAATTAGTTGGTTTTGGAGTAGTTAAGCCTTAAGGCATGGCAACTATAATATATAAGAAACCTATGCTTGGGATTAAAAACTCAATGCAAGCCAACATTAATGACTTGTAGATGATTGAAATTAAAGCCTGAATTGACTTGCATATATATAGTTCTGTACATGCATTGGCCTCAACTGTTCCAGCTTCCGTTTTCCTTCATCAAGATAGACGAGGCCGTTGGGCCCCCCAAAAAAAAAAAAAAACAAAGGAAATAAAGATATTACTTAATAATAACTAAAGAACAATTTACCATTGTTGCTCTTAATTATGGTTCACTGGCTAGCTCTGAAGCACTGGCAAGACTTCGCATTACATCAACCTGAGCTCGGAGAGATATGATATAATCAAGAGTTTCCTCAATCAAAGTTACGTCATTCATAAACTCTCCTCCGGGGATTAAACTTCGCAAAATTTGAGTTCTTTTCCTAACCAACCTTTTTGCAATAGAGCTTGCCAGAGCCACTTGGGGTGCAAATTTTCTTGTTCTTTGGATTCCGCAACTCCTTTTCAGGATCTTCTTGCTTCTCATCCTCTTGTTGCACACCGATGCTCCTCCTGTCAAAACCTTCTTCATTATTAGCCTCTCTGACTCCGGGCCCAATATTTGCTCAACTAGATGTTTGTCATCACCGCCATCTTTGGAATAACCATTGGCAATGAGAGCTCGACTCCAACAAGTTGTACCGTTTCTAGCAGAAGCAATGGCTACATCTGCTGACAACTTTATAGCCTTCTTTCTCTCCAAGATGCTCATATTCTTCTTTGAAGTGCTATATCTTTGGAGACCCATCATCCATTTCTTGAGAAATTCTTGCCTGAGTGAACTAGGAGGACGCATCCTGCATAAACAAAAGAAATTATCATTTTCAATGTGACATCAATAGCTTTGTTATATATACAGAATTCATTACACACAAAGCTTTGAAATAAAAATGATCATCTGGAATATATAGCCAGCAGCTTTCTCACTTTCTCCTAATGCTTATATTGAAGTGAAACGGAAAATAAATTCTACAAAGATTAAAGTAAAATTACAGGATGCAAGGGAAGGAGCTAGATAGGGTTTAAAAGAAGACAACTACAGTGCAGACACCATAAAACCAAGTGCAAGAGATCATATATTGCTAGCATAAACAACACCGCTTGAGCTTAGTTTTGCTGTTGGATATAGCATATATGTATAAGGTTAAAGTAATAAATATATAGTAATAGTAAACTAAAACCAGTACGTACCTAGCTAAAATTTCTTTTTGTATGGAAAGAGGAAGAGTTAAAAATTAATATTCAGAGATCAATCAGAAACAAATTAGTTGCAAGAGTGAAGCAGTTCGACAGATCCAAGAAAGTGCATCAGAATCCAAGAAGGAGGTTCAGAAACATATAGATAGAGAGAGAGAGAGACTCAGAGGGAGGAATGAGAAAGAGAACAATGTACAGGAACTCCATTTATTTGCTCTAAGGAAAAGAAGTGGTGGGCCTATGAGAGAAAGACACAGCACATGCATGCACATGGAATGCATGGCCCACCCCACAAACCCTAGGAGATAATTTTTAAAATGATATTTATTTTATTTTTATTATTAGATTTGTAAAGCATAAATCAAATAAAAAGGTGCCCTTAATCTAATGCAAACCTAACATTTGTTTTTGCTATGAATACAAACAAAACTCGCCTTATATTACTGACATCTATTAATTAATTATTTCATCCATCATCGTTAACATTCAGCCAATGTTACGTCCGATGTTATGTATTGATAATCTTGCCGTATCCGTACAATTATTTAAGAAAAACTACCATAAAATGGTTAATGGTTTTTTTTTTTTCATTTTTTTAAATGAACTAATTAGTACTTGTTAAAAAATTTCCTCGTAGATTAGTAAGATTTTAATTAGAGTTAATATTTGATACATTGATAATATATCATTTTTATATACTGTCAATTAATAATAAAATAATATATAATTTAATAAATAAAAATTAAACTTTCATTCCTTAAAAATAAATATTATTAAATTTTTTTAAGATTAATTAATTATTAAAATTTTGCTCCCCTTATTTTTTTTTACCGTCTCCTTCAATATTTTGAAACCCTCACACCCATTTTCAATCTTGCTATATTTCGACTGCTTCACTCACATTTTTAACCCATTGTTTCTCCACCTATTCTCTCTGCTAACTTCGCAAAGTTCGGGGAGCAAGTTCTATATTGCTCTTTTTTCTTTTTCTATGAAATTACTTTCCAATTTTCCTGTAAATAATAACTTTCAGATATCCAACATGTCTATGGAATGCACACAACTGAAAAAAAAAGTCTTTGCTAACCTGAGATATATGCACTACAGATGATTGTGGAACCAGAGCAGCGAGTTTCAGATTTTATTAATTAGGGGAGAGCAAAATTTTTATTAATAATTAATTAATTTAAGGTAAAAAAATAACGGGAGAGCAAAATTTTAATAATTAATTTATCCTAAATAAATTTAATAATATTTATTTTTAAGGATTAGAAATTTTAAGTTTTATTCATTAAAGGAGATGTCATCTTATTATTAATTGATGGTGTATAAAAGAAATACACTATCAATATATCAAATATTAACTCTTTTAGTTAATACTGTTATCAAGTTATTTGAGTTTTTCTTAATCTGAAATTTCGCCATTGATGCCGTTGATTCTTTTATGAATTGAGGTAAGAGCTCAGCAGAACATTATGAATAGCATGTCGTATAGTAATGATAGAGAATGACGACCAAACATTTATTAAGAAGAGTGAGATCTTGATGATAAGTTTCAATTCGTGCAAAAGAAAAGAACATGTAAAAGGAAAAGATTAGCCCTTTATCACTTTGGATATGGAAAAGCATATACTACTATATCCAATTCAAATACTCAAAACATATCTTAGTTGAGAAATATAATTAGATAACGATATTTTACGATCGTAAATTTTTTTAAAGAGATTTCAGGCACATATGTATTAATCTCTCAATATTAATGCTATTTTACTATAATTTCAAATATTCAATTACTCGTTAATAGTTGTGTAATCTATTAATAAATTAATAAATTTTTAATTTTAATGATTAATATTAAATTTTTGATAATTTTAAATATAAAAAAATTGAGCTACTCATATAATATGAATATAACAATTGGTAATTTTTTTAAGTTATCAAGTGATCGGGCAATTGAGGTACAATGATCCAAAAAACAAATAAAAAGTAAAAATAATATTTTGAATTAATCTATTTATCTATCTAATAGCACGGGAGGAAGGTTGCCATGCTATACATATAAGGAAGTTGATTTGGGGGAGAGGGAGAGAGAGAGAGAAGGGGGGGGGGGGGTTTGGCAGGATCCGGAAAACATGGCGATGCTGAGAGGGCAAAGAGGACCCACAAAGGAGAGAAATTGTAGCGCACGGGTTTTGGCTTTGGGTCTGGGCATGAAGAAAAGAAGTCCCCCCACATGGTCTCCACATGGGGGTTTTAAAAGTACCACCTATGTGATGAGGCCTCTCTCTCTCTCTCTCAAACTACACATTTTCTCATCAATCATTACATTTATATTATACATATTCCTCCTACTTGTTGCCTTCTTACATATCACTGATTTTTTTTCATATACGCCCTAAAGCTTTTTGGTATTTTTTTTTCTCAATATAAGAAATTATTTTGGCTTGGTTCACTTGACCTTTTTATTTTTTATTTTTTTACTTTTTTTTTCTGCTTGTTCTTTGCTATTGGTACTATATTTTTATTTTTTTGCTTCTCACTTTAATTAAAAAATAGATAGCAAAGGTATTTTAGATTTACATACCTTAATTATACAGATATGATAATAATTCCTATTGTTATTGTGTCCTTTATATTATCATAACAAAAGTCAAAATCTTAAACCAATTAATGAATTACGTATCCAATGGATAAAGCGTTTGTTTTGATGGTAAATGGTTTTCAATTCAAGTTTTAATTAACGGTGACAGCTGGCTGTCGTACTAATTTTGGATCCTCAAATCGTTACAGGATACGATACATAATACTATATATACATGATCACTCTTACATCTATGTCGATGTTTATTTAATTAATCTATAATATATATATATATATATATAAAAGCATAGATGTGGAAAATCTTTTGAACTAACGAAAGTAGACATTTATATTTATTATATTTCTAAATTGCACTTTTAAAATTTTTATTGTTAAATATTAATAAAATTTATTTATCCAATTTAAAAATAAGAAGTATATTTTCATTGAAAACTTTTATTAAATGAATTTATTTGAAAAATAAAAAGTTGAAGTTTATATTAATTTTTTCAAAATTTTACCTTTACGTTAAGGTTAATAAACTTTATGTTAATACAATATATTATTTTTATAAAATTATAAGTATAAAAAAAATTAAAATTATAATCAAATGTTATATTCATATATATATATATATATGAAATCACAAACTAATCAACCAATAAATTAAAATATAATTAGATAAATCTAACATAAAATTGAATCAACTCATATATAATAAAATATGAACCTAATAACCCAGAGTTCTATGACCTCCTCATTTCCTCTAACTTTACATATATGTCATACATCTAGATCGAGCAAACTTTATATGTTAACATGCATTTTATTTATTTTTTAGAAAGATTAACGTACACTTTATTAATTTCTATTATATATTTATACAATATACAACTATATTCAATATATATAATTATTATTTAAAATTTCTTTTTCCTTCAAAGTTTTAATTTTTACATTATCGTTACAAGTAATAAATTAATCTAATATATTTTTCACCTAAGACAAATTTACATGTTAATTTGCATTTTCTTAATTTAAAATATTTTTTGGCCTCGTATTAGTTTTAAATATTTGTACAATACACAACCATATATTCAATATATAATTATTATTTAAAATTAAATAAAAAATATATTCACCTACAATGTATATGATGATAAAAACTAGTTTATATAAACTCAGAGATGTGACGAATCTTTTGCATTGACGAAAATATACATCTATATATGTTAATTCTATTTCTAAATTGCCACTTTAATTTTCTTTTATTATAAATGTTAATAACATTTACCCAGTTTATAAATAAGAACTCTAATTCTATTAAAAGAATTTCATTAAATAAATTTATTTGGTAAATAAATAAAAATGAGTTAAAATTTTAATTAAATCTCTTTTTTACAGTTCTAATTTTTCATTAATGCTAAAAGTAATAAACTTAACGTTAATTTGATATATTAATATATGTGGAATAAAATTTACATATTAATGTCCATTTTATTAATTTCAATTATATATACAATATACAACTACATATCCAATATATAATTATTACTTAAAAAATTCTTTGCCTTTACCTTGTTATTTTTACATTAATGTTAAAAGTAATAGACTTTAAGTTGATCCCATATATTATATAGATAGGATAAATTTTGCATGTTAATATGAATTTTATTAATTTCAAATACTTAAACAATATGCACCTATATATTAAAATAGATAAAAATAATTATTCATGTGCAAGATACGAGACAAAAAATATTAATATATATAACTAAGATACGAAGAATGTTTTGAATTGATGAAGATATCTATGTTTATTATATTTTAAAATTTTCATTTAAAATTATTTATTATAAATATTAATGAGATTTATCTAATTAAAAATAAGAACTCTACTATCATTGAATAAATTTATTTTGATAAATAAAAGTGCATTAAAGTTTACATTATTTTTTTCAAAGAATTAATTTACAATAATGTTAAATAAATTTTATATGTTAATTAATATGATATATTATATACATGGAAAAATCTTTATATGTTAACTTGCTTTTTTTTTGGCCAATGAGGCATGTTAAATGGCGAAAAGAGACCTTAGAACCTTGAAGTATTGGGTTCAACTATTATTATATGTGTGTTTGGTTGTTTAATTATATTTTAGTTTATTAGCTAATTATTCAATTATTGTAATTTGATTATACTATAATAGTTGATTATTCAGTTGATTATTGAATATAATATTTGATTATGATTATAATTTCTAAAAAAACATTTTTTTTCAAAATTAACATTTAGTATATTAATTTTTATTGTTTATACAATATTGAACTATATATTCGATATATAATTATTATTTAAAAAATTTTGCTTCAAAGTTTTAATTTTACATGAACATTAAAAATATTAAAAGTAATAAATGTTTATTAATTTAATATATATATTTTGCACTTAAGACAAACTTATGTATTTTATTAATTTAAAATTTTTTTTGACCATCTTATTAATTTTAA